ATTTTGGAATGTCCAAGGACTTATTTGTTCCAAAAATTGTCCAATGACTTATTTAACATATTTTGGAATGTCCAAGGACTTATTTGTTCCAAAAAATTGTCCAATGACTTATTTAACATGTTTTAGAATGTCCAAGAACTTATTTGTTCCAAAAAAAAGTCCAAGGACTTAATCATTCCAAACAAGAAAGTCCATTGGTTTTTATTGTACTTTTCCCTTTTTTAACCTAAAAAAGTTATATTAACCGGCTAATAAAATTTTGATGAGTTTTTTTTATAAAAAATTCAGGGTCTTAATCATTAAAAATGATAAAGTTTAATGGTTTTTTATTTAAAAAAATAGTTTAAAAACTAAATCATTCAAAATAAGAAATTTTATTGGTTTTTTCATTTATAAAAATAATTTAAATACTAAACCATTTAAACTAAAATAATTCATTAGATTTTTTTTTTTACCTTTTCGCATAAAAATATTCTAGATATTATAAGACATTCACCTAATAAAAACATAGACATGTGTGAAAATATGTCCTTAAAAAAGCATAGACATTACAACTTGCTCCATGTTCATTTTCCATAATTTATTTTCATTTTTCCATAATTTATGCGTAAGTAAATTGTTTAACTTAATTCCTATTTTATGTAACGTATTTTAAAACTTCAATTTTGGTACCTAAGATATAAAATTTTAATCGGTTAATGTTTCAATCGGTTACTCGATTTTTTTTTTTTTTGATTAACCTAGATATCCAACCCGTTATGCGAGCTGACTAATCTCAGGACGACCACCTGTTTTGCAGATAGCCCGGAGTCATCGCATTTGAACTTCCGTGCCCACAAAGAAATTTTTATTACTTTTTGGATCTAAACCAGAGACTTTCTGATACTTTTAATCTTTGAAGTCAAACTCAAACCAATTAAACACCACCCTTATGGTTTTACCCAGGTACTTAGTGCATTGTTGTTAAATACATCTTTGTCGTCCTCCTTTATCTTTTCCATATTCTTTTCTTCATTTTTAGAAGAACTTGGATGCAAAGTAAGCTTCTTTTTTAAATTTCGATATTTTCAGAGACTTAATTATTGTTAAAAATAATACTTTAATCTCAAAAAACGTGCTTATTTATATAATTATAATTAAAAATAAAATAATATTAATTTTAATATTAAAAAACAATATCAATAGATTTTGTAAGATTCGATATAACTATTTATTCACAACGGTATTGGACCATAAAACAAGTGCAGTTTCCTATAAATTATGCGAACCCATTTCACCAACTCTTTCAGGTTTCTTCTCACAAAATGAACATTCCATTTCTTGTCTGCATTCTTGTCCGACTTTTAGCAACATCCCATGCTTCATCTTACCACTCTCACGGCCACCGTCACGTCAAAATTAACGAACAACCGCTGTCGGAAATTGCCATCCACGAGGCGGTTTTAGCGCTTCACGAGAATGCCACTGTTAAAGCCTCGCCTTATGTTCTCGGCTTAAAGGTACCCTATGCTTTACTCACGCAAAACCCCATCAGATTACTGTTAAAAATAATAATTGATTACCTCTGGATTGTAAAAATACACCGGAGTTACTCTTCAAAGAAAAGTAAATTAATTACCTCTAAATTTATGATTTGAAGGGTGAGGATACTGAGTGGGTCAACATCGAAGTTGACTATCCTGAACCCTCCTCGGATGATTGGATCGCTGTGTTTTCTCCAGCGAAATTCAAGTAATTTTCGATCATCTTCAATTTTTTGTGTGTGTTTTTGGGTGTGATTAAGGTGGCGTTTGGTTCGCGTAATGTTTTTGGAATTTGTTAAAGAAATTTGACTTTGAATGAGTTTGAATGAAATGATGTCAGGTTTGACCACTCTTTGGTTGGCAGACATTGCAAAGAAATCTGTTAAGAAATTGGAATCTGTCTGTTTGGTTCATAAAGTATAGCTTTGGAATTGGAATGAAATATTGATAAATGACCAAAATGTCTTTTTTTGAAAATTTTATTTTTCTTAAAACTAAAAATACTTTAATTAAATAATTATTTAATATGTAGAATAATATAAAATTCACAACCCAAATATAACCATAAGCCAAACGACGTTACTAAATCAACGGTGGTCGGCGGCAGTTCAGATTGGTGGTGGTTCAAATGGCCGTGGCTTAGATCGATGGTGGTCCGCGGTGGTTCAGATGGAGATCGTCAACGGTGGTTCAGATGGATGATGGTTCAGATCGGTGGTTGTTCAAATCGTTGGTGGTCAGCGGTGTCTAGCGGTGATTTAGATTGGTGGTAGTCGTCGATGGTCTGCAACAGTTCAGATCGGTGGTGGTCTGTGGTGCTTCAGGTGACAGTGGTTAGATGTGGTTCAAATCGGCGATGAATCAGATCGATGGTTGTTCAGATCGGTGATGGTCGGCGATGGTTCAGATGGCGGTGGTTGATGGTGATTCAGATCGACGGTGGTCAAAGGCGGTCGCAATGGTCATATTCGATTTTCTGAGATTAGAGTATATTCGATTAAGGGCATATTTGGTATCATGAAAATAGAGAATTCCATTCTATCAAAATACCATATAGTTGCTAAGAAATGTTAAATTACTTTATTTATGGAATCTGTAGAATTTTGAAGATTCCTTCCGTGAAAAAAAATGAACCAAACGAGAAAATGAAATTAAACATTCCAATTCCATCAGATTTCTTAAGAATCTGTAAACCAAACACCACCTAAATATGTAGATGATTATAAATGAATTATGTTTTAATTAATGACAGTGGATCCACTTGTACTTATGAAGATTATACAAGAATACAGTCTCCATATATATGTTCATCTCCTATAAAGGTCTGTTTCCTTGATCTTTTCTATTTCAGATGTTTCATGACAAATTATATGAAAAAATAATATACTTTAATTTGATTCTTATTTTAAATAACATGATTTTAAAATTTTTATTTTGGTACATAAGATGTATAGTTTAAAACATTTAAGTATCCAGGTAATCGATTACCATGATGATGTGACGAGCGATGAGATAAAATTGGGTTGAATAACAAATAATATTAAATAGGATACCACATCAGTATGATAACCGGTTAATGGTTCAACCAATTACCCGGGTGCTTAAAATGTTTAAAATTTTAAATCTTAACTACCAAAATGAAAGTTTTAAAAATACGTTATTCAAAATAGAAATTAAGTTTAATTACGTTATTTTTTTCATACAATTCGCGGTTTCATAAATATTGTTTATTTCTCTAATTTCGATTTTGTTTTTTAGTTCATGTTCGCAAATTACTCGAATCCAAAGTACACGGAAACCGGCAAGAGTGTGCTCAAGTTGCAGATCATAAACCAGCGAGCTGATTTCTCCTTCGCATTGTTCTCCGGTGGCTTGTCAACGGTACGTACTTACCGTTATGTTCTCCGGGAGCTCGCTTTACGTCGACCGTTTGCTAAGTTGTTATCGTTAAATTGCAGCCGAAGCTAATTGCGGTTTCAAATACGATAACTTTCGCAAATCCGAAAGCTCCTCTTTATCCACGTCTCGCTCATGGAAAGTCTTGGGATGAGGTGAGTTTCAAGATTAGAAAACGATTAACGGAACACCCGTAAAGAATCCGAAAAACGCTCACCTTGATGGCGTCTTCGTGATACAATGTATGTGTCTAAATGATTCGTTTTTGTGTTTGGAAAGATGACGGTAACGTGGTCAAGCGGTTACAGCATAGACGAAGCGGTGCCATTCGTTGAATTTGGCATGAAAGGCCAGGTTCGATCGCTTTCGCCTGCTGGAACGTTAACGTTCATTCAGAACAGCATGTGTGGTAACGATCTCTTCATTCTTCGATCTAAATTCTCTTCAGCAATGTCGATACGTAGAACTCAGATTCCAATCGTATATAAAGAAGAAATGGTTCAAATCTAGCAAATATAAAACTGCAATTGTATATATGATTCTAACATAACATACCATCCACGTAAAAATTCATTTGTAATCCAGGCGGAGCAGCACGCGGTGTGGGATGGCGAGATCCGGGCTTCATACACACGAGTTTCTTGAAGAATCTATGGCCGAACATGGCGTACGCAACCTTCTTCATCTCATGAATTAGCTTACGTTAACGTTTGATTAAAACCGTTAATTGATTTCCAGGTACACGTACCGAATGGGGCATATGTTAAAAAACGGTAAATCCGTATGGAGCAAAATGTACACGTTCAAGGCGTCTCCGTACCCCGGGCAAGACTCATTACAACGCGTAATAATCTTCGGAGACATGGGAAAAGGAGAGAGGGATGGCGCGAACGCGTATAGCAACAAGCATCCGGGCGCACTTAACACGACCGATACGCTCATAAAAGATTTGGACAACTTTGACATAGTTTTACACATAGGAGATATGTCGTATGCCAATGGATACATCTCTCAATGGGATCAATTTTTGGCACAAATGGAACCCATTACTTCCAGAGTTCCATATATGGTTGCTAGGTTCGTAACCTTTTTAACTTTCAAACGCAAAATCGCTAGATGGTCCTAACCGTTTGGTGTACATTTTGGTTTTTGCAGTGGAAATCACGAACGTGATTGGCCGAACAGTGGATCGTTTTACGACACCGATGATTCTGGTGGCGAATGTGGTGTGCCGGCCGAGACTTTGTTCTATGTTCCCGCAGAGAACCGGGCTAAATTTTGGTAATCCTTGGGTTTAGACAATATGTCGCATAGAACCGTTGCAAAAGAGATATAATGTAAACCACAAGGGTGGTGCCTGATTGGTTTGAGTTTGGCTCTAAAGATCAAAAGTGGTTTCAGGTTCAAATCCAAAAAGGAATAAAAATCCCCTTATGGCCACTCGCCCTGGGATTAGTCGGCTCGCATAACGAGTTGGATATCCAGGTTAATAAAAAAAAGATATAATGTAGATAACACTCAAAAACCGCTAAAATTTTAACATTTTTTAAATAAATATATATAAAACTCAAATATGAGAGACCAAAATTGTAATGAAAAACATGGTGTAAATGAATAAAATAACGATATTTTTAATTTTTAGGTATATAATTTAAATAAGATTTTAATTAAAATCAATTAACTTCTTATGAGTATAAATCCATTTTTTCTTATATAGGTCAAGAGGTTATGAATTTAATTAAAAACGAATAAAACGGTATGTAAGGGGCTGTTTAGCAATTGATGAATGGTTTGGTGCAGAATGATTAAGTGGTCAAAATGATTAAGAGACTCTCATGATATAGTGCAAAATGAAATATAATTGTTTGGTAATTGTGTATAATGAAATTAGGGCTCCTAATGGTTAAGGGAGATCTAGGATACAAAATCATTCAGAGTGTTATATAACCATTAAGAGGCAGACTTTTTTTTTGTCAAACAAGATTCACCTCTTAATGATTCAGAGATTGCCTTTTAATGAAACTATTAAGAGGTAAATTGGAGTTATTTAGGGTAATATATAATGTTTAATGTAAGATTTAGTGTACGCTATTGGAGATGGTCTAAGAACCTACTTGTTCCGGTGTCGGGTAAGAAAACTCGTGTATGTGATCTTGCAGGTACTCGACGGATTACGGGATGTTTCATTTTTGTGTAGCAGATACAGAGCATGATTGGAGGATTGGTACGGAACAATACGCCTTCATCGAGAAATGCTTGGCGTCGGCCAACAGGCATAAACAGCCGTGGCTGATATTTGCCGCTCATCGTGTGCTTGGGTATTCGTCAAACCAATGGTACGGACTTGAAGGCTCGTTTGAGGAGCCCATGGGCCGGGAACACTTGCAACCTCTATGGCAAAAATACAAGGTCGATGTCGCCTTTTTCGGTCATGTTCATCATTACGAACGAGTTTGCCCAATTTATCAGGTACCACCTTATTTATGATCGTATTAAATAAATTATGTTATTTGAACTGCTATAACAAACCCGTGTTTTTTTTTTTGCATAGAATCAATGCGTGAACGATGAAAAAAGTCATTACTCGGGTACGGTGAACGGGACGATTCATGTTGTTGCGGGAGGTGGAGGGAGTCATCTGTCGGATTACACGGAAATTGATACGGTTTGGAGCATTCACAAAGACCGCGATTTTGGGTTCGTGAAACTAACGGCGTTTAATCAATCGTCATTGCTTATGGAGTACAAGAAGAGCAGTGACGGAGAAGTTTACGATTCGTTCGTGATAACAAGAGAATACAGAGATGTGTTGGCTTGTGTTCATGATGGTTGTGAGGCAACTACCCTTGCCACTTAATTAGCTTCAAATCTAGTGCTAAAAATAAGTACTTTGTGCTTAGAATGTTGTACTGTCATCCCATGGGAAATAAACGATGGCAAGATGCCTTTTTGGAAATTATCGTTGGAATTGGAATGAAATATTGGTAAAACAAACAAAATGTGATTTTTTGAAAATTTTAATTTTTTTAAAAACTAAAAATATTTTAATGAAATAATTATTTAATATGTTAAACAATATAAAATACACACTGTAAATATAGAGATTAGGGTATATTGAGTTAAGGGCATTTTTGATATTATGAAAATAGAGAATTCAATTCCATCACAACACCATGTAGTTTTTAAGGAATTTTGACTTCCTTTGTTTGTGGAATTTGTAGAATTTTGAATATTTTTTTCTTAAAAAAATATGAACCAAACGAGAGAATTTGGTTAATGAAGAAACAAAACCTGTAATTTACTCAACTTTTTATATTTTGCGGTTTGTCTTACGCATGCTTTGAGGTTAAAACTTAAAACTCCGTTTTGTTAGTCATAAACTAACTGATATAAATATCAGCTGGAGTTTGAAATGCAACTTTATAAGGTGGTGTTTGTTTTATAAAAAAAAAACTCTTATTTTACCACTTATGTCTGATTCGGTCAGAAACGGTCTGAATTGTCTTATGTCTAATTCGGTCAGACATAAGACAATTCAGACCGTTTGTTTTTCTTTTTCTTTCAAAGCCACTTATCTCTTATTTTCCTCTTAAAAATTAAGTGATAATCTAGCCACTTATTTTCCTCTTATTCTTGAAGACTATCCAGAGAACCGATTTCTACTTCATCATTCGATCGACTTCACCCTCTCAATCGAGTGACTTCACCCTCCATCGATCGACTTCAGCCTCCTCACCGTCTCAATCGATTGACTTCACCCTCCACAATCGATTGACTTCACCCTCCATCGCCTCTGGTAGTTTCAAATCGACCAAATCAAATCCAAATCAAGAGGGTTTTCTTCCCTGTGGGTTTTCGCCACTGTGTGTTTTCGTTCCTATGCAAACCAGTAGTTGTGCACCTTTATCCTCGTGATCAGGGTATTTTCGTCACTGTAGTTTTCATCATGATGGAGATTTGCTTCGATTTTAGAGGTGGATTTGGGCGTTGGATTTTAGAGAAGGAGTGGTGGTAGACGGTGGTTGATGGTGGTGGGATGAGGGTGAAGATTGAGAATGGAAGGCTTGAATTGGAGGAGAAGGAATAATTAAATAAATCTTGGAAACATAAACAGAAGTGAAATCAGAAATTATACATATTCATATGTTTTGTTGGTTACAAAAGCAAACTATTGATTCAGATTTCAGACTTCAAACGTTTGTCAGTTTAGAAAAACAAACAGTCTAACTAATTCATATTTCATATTTCAGCACCACCTCTTAAAAATCAGAAGTGAAATCAGACTTCAGAATTCAGCACCTCTTACAAAACAAACGTCACCAAAGTTTTACAAACTCTTTCACCTTCTTTTAATCATTCCCTAATCATAATTTTTAGTTGCTATTAACTATTTTAAGTTATTATTAGTCATATTAATTATTATTATTATTATTATTATTATTATCACCACCATCATCATTATCATCATCAATAATAAAATAATTTAACCGAAAATCAACTACAACACATTTTTAAAATGTATATTAAATTATAAGTTATATTTGTCATTTGTCAATCATACAAACACAAGTCAATACGTTTGAATTTTTTCTTGTGACGGTGAATGGATCATAAACTTTCCTGTCACTTTCCTTCTTCTACTCTATAAATAATGACGATTAATTAATTATAAATTATAGAGATAAAAAAAACTTACTTTAAAAATCACGTGGACAAAATTGAGTATATCTAATAAATCATAGAGAAGGTAGAGAGGTGAAAGAGATAGAATCGAGGTAGGGGGGAAGGGTTTCATTTCTTGATTCAAACTTCAAAGAGAAAAAAAATATATTTAATAAAATAAAATAAAAACTTTAAAAGACTAAAATACCTTTAAAATAATTGATGCTTTTTAACCAAGATGGTAACATGGACGAAATGGTAATAGACTTTAAACTATAGGGACAAAAACCTTAATTTTAAAACTATAAGGACGATAGTAGAACTTTTAAACAAGTGATTCGTAGTTTACTCAAAATAAAATTTGGATAAATGGTTTTAGTAAGATATTTAACTATTTTTTTTGGATAATAAAGTAGTTAATTACTATTTAAATATTAAAAAAAGTATTTAATCAAGTATTTTATGATAGACAAGCTTATTGTTAATATACTAGAAGAATACTCGCGCAATGCAACGAGATACATCTTGATTTTAATATTTTATTTTATTATTTATCTCAGTCGATGTTATAATATGATCTTATGTAATTTTGAAAAAATGATTATATTTTTATTTTTTAATAAAATATAAATTTGAAGATATCATAAAATTTTAATAAAAATATATCGATATTAATATAAAATTAACAA